TTTTCAAAGTCATTAAACATGTGGAAAGTACATTTTAAAATGCCAGCAATTCTAAGCTGATAATGTTTCAGATACATTTTTTATAGTTATCAATAACTGTCCAGCATGAAGGACAGTGGGGAACCAAGTCTTGAATTTTGTTTGCCTTGTTTTACTTGTAAATAGGAACATTTAGTGAAATTCAAGCGAGTTACTTTAGGCATAATTTCTTTCTATTTTTAATCAAATTAATAAAAACAATAGAGTCTAAGAACTGGCCCAGTGCCTATTGATAGGTGACACTCTCCATTATGTGCTGCAAAATTTTAATTCCAATGAATTCACATGAAAATTGCATTTCAGGTGATTGTGTCCTGCTCATAGTATATTCAGCATGTAAGAACCTCCTGGCTTTACTGGATCCGAATAAGACCCTACTGGAGCATAACCACCTGCACCAGTGTGGACGGGTTATCGGGCCCTCCTTACTGGAGTCATCTCCAAGACGTGTCCTTGCAGACGTGAGTGGAAGAGTCCTGTGCAGAAGGATTCTTAGCACTGAGTCGTACCCTGCCGCAGCGTACTGCAGCTCTGCCACAGAAATAGGCATTCCTGAATGCCCAGTGTTTTAAGGTAGAGTTGGGTCTACAAAGCATGACATACTAGTATAGCCACGATTTACTGTTTGAGCAATTGCTCCGTGAAAAGCTGGGAAGGGACACAAACTTATTAGCTCCTGAGTGTACAGCAATGTGGTCTGCAGTGTTCTTGCACCTCTCCTAGGTTTGCAGTTTGGTTGTAGATGGAATTCTATTTCTCTTTTAGGGGGGGAAAAAAAATCTTAAGAGCTATTTAAACGGTTGCAGGCAATTAGCATGTTCCATCTCCACATTCTTCTGACCCCTGCTCATACAGTTAGATGCCCATTCAAACAAGCCATTGATATTTTTTTGTTTCAAATCACACCAGGTAAAATAATTGTCCAAAACACAGGATTTCTTTAATTCCAAAATTTATACAAGTTTACAAATCAATATACCACCACACAAAGTAGTGAAAGGAAGAAGAGATATGTTCAGCAACATCTTACTATATTATAACAATGTTCAAAAGTGGTTAAATTTGACATAGTATTGCAAGACTTTTTTATATAAAGAATTAGTGATGGAACAAGGAGATACAGAGAAAAACATTACTTTCTTTGTTCCTATCTGATGCAATATTTAGCATCTAGAAAATAATGAAATATTGGTGAAATGCTGTATCTAGTTCATGTCATCTCTATTTCCATTAAAATCCTGAAACAAGATGGGAACACTGACAAAGTGAAACAAGATCTTACTAATCATTAAAGTTAATAAATAGAAACCTGTCAAAACATTACAGTGAAATATGTTATTTTTACTCCATCTCTCCCTTTCTCTATATAGCTACACTTCCATAAGTTTTTTTTTCAGATGTCTATTAAATAGAAGCTTTATTCTGGGGAATTTACTTTGCTTTTTATTTGATCCTCAAAATATTTTAATATCAACCTAATACAAACTTTCAGAATTGCTTTTTTTTTTTTGTTCATCAAAAGCTAGGTCCCAGCAGTGAGCATTGCACTGAGCTTTGTACAATAAGAAAAAAGATAGCAACAATAATGGAGCTAAATGTGGGAGCTCTTAAAGGCAGGAGGCAAATATATTCTGTTTTTCACCCTGAGTATGTCTTTATTTTAGTTTACAGCAGCGGCACAGGTCTTAACTCCTTGAGATATGAAAACAGATGACGTGAAAGCGCTAAAAGACGCAGTTCTGGTATACCTGACAATTTAATGCAAACGTAGGCTTTTAGCGTGGTTTACTTTATCATTAAAGCGTTAACAGACATTAAGACATGGGCTCATATTCTGTTCTCTACTTAGGATGCCAGCAGTGCTCAGCCAGACCTGTCCTGCTGGTGCAGTCTGCCAGGTACCCAGGTGACAGTGTGGCTCTCCCTACCCTGGCTCCGACCCGCTGCCAGCTGCAGCAGATGGGGGGGTTGGGTCGATTCCCAGGCTGCCAGACTAGATTCACCTTTTTAATCTGTGCTAGCTCGATCTTCCTTCCGTTTTATGATGATACGAAATTGTGGCTCAGACCATGTTTATCATCAGGTTAAGTGACAGCTATTTTGAAACAAGTTCTCCGAGATAGCTGTAGTATTACTAGTCACAAGATCTGGGTTTGAAGCATCTCCACTGGAAACAAAGCACTAATCTCACCTGGAAGGAGGGGTCTAATTTCTGTAATACCAGGGACATTTTCCTCCCTTTATTTTCACAGCTTTCATTTGGTTTCCAAGGAAAAAACAAAGTAAAAAAAAAAAAAGGTCGTTGATACGGTTTTTACATGTCAACACTGAGGTTGTGGTACTTCTCCAAGAGCTGCTCAGTGTGGCCAAAGCAGAAGGTTGGGCTGCCCTGCCCACACCACATCAGAGGTCGGTGAAGTCCACCACAGCAAGGGACATGCACAACTGTAGGTAAATGCTAAACCCAACAAATAAATACAGTCTTGTAGACCTACAAATGGCTGTGAATGCTTTCAGTGATTTTGAAGAGAGACTGCTCCTGTTCCTACCTTGTTTCAAATCACCGGTCAAAATGGTATTCAGCTTAAATGATCGTTAGCATTTAGCTTAAATAGTTTTTTTGGTACTTGTTGAGTCAACACATACATCACAATTAGAGGAAATTCAGGCAGACTACTTTTCATTTGAAACAATGAATTTCCGTTATAAGGACTAATATATATTACCTGAAAGAAGAGAGAGACGAGAGACATTCTAGAACTATTTCAATTTATGTGAAGAAGAAATTAGGATTTGATACAGCATCCATTCTTTTGCACCCACAGCAACACGCTGTGATGCGTGATCCTACTGATAAATGTGATATATGAGGTCATTTCAGAAACCACTACTTCAAGCGACTCATTTTCTCTTTGTGTGGATGTAGACATCTGAGTTCACACCTGACTCTGTGGAACACAGGTACGTGTGTAAGGTTTGTCTTATGTTTTGGTTGACATTTAAATGATTTGTCCAACTTGATAAAAATTAACACATTGATCCCTTTTAGCCAGCTGGACTGTGTTGCATGGAAAGTGTTATTTTTTTCTTTGCCTTTTTTACATCTTTTTATTTTTTTCCTCAAGGATTACTCACTCAGGAATTTCTCAGGACTTACCCTGATTTTTCCCTTCTACCAGGCATGCAGCACCACAGCGAGTTAGGTACATGACGTATTATTTCCAACAGACTGTTGTAGCAGCTTGAAGACATTAGAAATCATCAATACAGAGGACTAGGAGATACAGCAGAAACTGACTTCAGGCAGCTCAATAAAAAGCAAAGTAAAGCAAACTTGCTTCACTGCACACAGTGACATACCAAAATCTTGTTATTTTTTATTGCATGGGTAACACTTTACAGCTGTCGGTTTTCTGCCAGTTGATATTTAGAATGTAAAAATAGTATATACAATTCTAAGTCTGTGTGTGGGTACAATACACAATGGGTAGTTTATAGTTCTAATTCTGCAAGTATACTACATTTTTACATAAGTCCCAATAAAGGCAACTCTTTTTGTCCAGTTACGTAAATTTGCTTAAGTAGTTTGCTGAATTGTAGGCCAAAGAATGCATCTGATTATTTATCATCAAAATAATAAGAAATTATGTAAGAAATTAAAGATTAGCTCAGCATCTCTATCCAGGCTAGTATTCTGCCTCTAGCAATGGCTTGTAGTGAATACTTTAAAAAAACCCCAAACCCAAACCCAGAAGGAGGACAGGGAAAGCCTAAGTGATACCTCACCTACGTATCCTCATGCCTTATGTCAAAACGCAGCTTGAAGAAGTCTGAGCCAGAAGTTGTATCCTCATCTTTGTCTTTTAATTCTTAAACGAGAAGGTGCCACAGGTCTTGCCATCCATGCTCCAGGCCTAGTACAGAGGAACGTCTTCTTGCAAAGCCAATTCCTTCACTTCGCCCCAAGAGTTTAACAGTTTTAGTTCGCTTCTGTAACCCGTATGTATCCTGGCATGTCAGTGGAACTACTGTCTTGGATAAAGTTTATACAGTCTGACTTTACCTTTGTCCAAGTTATTCTGCCTGTGCAACAGCTATCTTTCTGCCTTTAGTATCTCGGCTGCTTTCGAATGTTTGAAAGTGATTAAGGCAACACCGAGGTCTATTTAATTGCTCCACTTGTTTCCTTTGAAGTGGAATACTGTGTTTTATACTTCAAAGTCAACATAGTAGGCCTTTATAGGATTTTGGACACACATTTCTAAATTTGGCAACAACAACAACAACAGAAATTTTAAGCAGGAGAACTATTTATTAAGTGCTAGTGTAAGTTTTTAAGTTTACTCTAAAATTCTAGAAATAAAAATTAGCATTCTACCAGAATTGCTGACGAACCTTAACTCTAACGGCCTGATCATTCCTGCATGATTTCGTGCCAAAGAATACATTTTCACTGCTTCCTTGATGGCAAAGTGGTGTTTCTATATTTATAAAATGATGGGCCTCACAGAAGCTAAACTGTTTTCTGCAAATGGAATCCTAATGCCTCTTATTGATTCCATTAAAAAAGGAAGGTGCTGCTTCCTTTTCTTTGCTACAAGCATGCAGATGGTTATTTTATTTGGTTATTGATATTTTGGGGTCCGTACGTCATTGGGTTTTTACTAAAATGTAAGTGATCCTAACAGTCATATACATCTATCTTTTTAAAAAAAGGTTTGTCAACCTCTTTAAAAATAATGGAGTGCCAGCTGTTGGAAAGCACTCTTCTGTTACTAGAATTGCTCTTTACTAAAATAATCCACTCCATTTATGCAAACCTGGTCTTGTTGTAAATATCAGTAAAGAGGGAGATCTAATTTTAGCCACCAAATTGCCTTCCTGCCTTTAGGCCGATATCTAAACCAATAACCTTCAATTTTATAAACTAAAAACATTCCACAAGAATCTATTGCAGGTTCTGAGGTAAAAATCACATCTACGCAGACCTTTTATTGCCTGAAAAAGAAATACTTACACTTCATAATTAAAAACTAAACAGGGCACATAAAAGACAAAAATAAATTGTAGTATGTACACACATTAGAAAGGATAAATAGCAAATATATCATAGTACTGCATTAAATGTATGCATATGTGAATTCCAGACCCCCCCAAAATGTTGTGTACGTTAATTCAAAGGATAAGTAAGTGCTAATATAAGACAGAGAATTTCTTAGTGTAAACAACGCCACAGGCTTTTTAATAGGCCTTTGGGCCAACTTAGAAAAACCATGTATTGCCTTTCACACTCCATACCACTTAATTTTAATAGTACTGTATTCACAGATACAATTTCAAGATAGTATAAAAAATTATGAATCTAAGAAGCATTCTTCACACTCAACAAAAACAGGCCGCAGACACTCTAAGGATTTTCTGTTCACTTTTACGAGACCACTGGCTGAAGACATACCGATTCATCTGGGAGTTCTTCCTCAAAGCAATGCAAGAGTCCTTAAAGGTGAGAAGTCACATTAGTAATCACCGCTCAAGCCTACTAGTAAAGACTTTTGTGCCCAATTCAATTCTGATTTTGGATTCACGCTAGCACGATGTCAAAATTGTCACCACTGCCTGCCATGGGTGAGAAAGATAATGATCCCTGTGGTTTGAGTGGCAATTGACAGACAGCACGGAGTGTTTCTAAACATGAAGCGTTTCATTGCATTCATAGTGTCAAGTTATTTGTCCTTCGAATCCTGTTTATGTATTTCTGAGGATCCAGAGTACGTCAACATTAAAAACCAAAAAATATGACTTGTTCTGTATGAATGTTCAGTGTATTTTCTTGAAGCATGCTCATCGGGATTTTAAAAAAGACAGCTGAGTTATGCTAAGACTAATTTCTGGCAACTGTATTTACTGGCACCAGAGAAAATTACAGTTCTTCACTAAAGTACTGATGGCATGAGGACTTGTGGCTTGCTGTCTTTCTAAGACAGGCTGTGGCCACTAAAAAAAATACATGCACAGTTGCTCACTCTCTTTTTTTTTTTTTTAAATAATTCCTCCCAACTGGCCAAGTGCATCGTTAAGCAGTTCCATCCGTTCACTTTTCTCTGTGGACCGACAAGCAAAGTCTCTCTTCCCCCACGCTCTCAGTCCTTTCCACGCTCCCCCCTCTCAGTTACCCTCAGTCACAACCCTATGAAGTCTGATGAGTTCCTGCTAGCAGGCTCTCGAGCGATTGTCTTCAGCACTTCCTGACTTGTGGAGCTCCGAAGAAGAAGTCCACCGATTCATCTGTGTGGGCTAGCCACAGAACCGTGGTTTGTCTTAACGCTGACAAACACTTCATGTGGGTTCTCCTCCTAGACAAATCATCTGTCCATTGATAAAGACGAGGGCCACATCCTTCATTAACCTCAGGGCAGGCTGTAGCACACACTCACACTCAGTCAAGTTCCAGTGCAATCTCAGGTCTTCAGGACGCAACGATTTCCCCAAAGAAAATTGTTACATGAAATATGGGATGTGCTCAAAGTTATGGACGATGAAACCTGAAATGATAGATCATTAAAAAACTTAGAATTATGTTATTTCAACTGGCAATGACACTGATCCTCATCGTGCTCTCACAGCTGTTTACTTTTGTTGCCTGAACAGAATTATTCCCGATTGTCCTGGTCTCTGTGGGATTAGAGTCAGCCCTATTATCCCCCGCGGTCCGTCTCTCTCTACTAGAAAAACAAGTGGGGCTATGGTGTGGCTCAGGCACTGGTGTACGCCTGCCTGCTCATACCGTCAACCTGTTACTGTGGTCCCTGGCACAGTTTTGCTCGGGTCAACCAGCACTCTTCCAGATACTGTCTGGGCACGGCTGGGATTACCACAGGCCAATGGGCAGACTGGGTATGGGGGGACGTCACCCTGTTTTGGGGTGGGGGGAAGAAGCTAGCTGTATGGATTCAAGCTGTGCCAAGCCTGCTGGCCTCGGGGCCAGAGAACAGTCTCCAGTCTGTTTTGTTTACCAATACAGATTGAGCCACAATTGCATCCACTATTTGGAGACACTGCCAGTAAATCAGAAAAGTTTTGCTAAGCCATAAAACTTGAATTTCTGGTTTTTAATCCTTCTGAAAAATGAAGCTAACAAAAATTCTGGATTTTTTTAAGCAAGCAACAGATTTTATAGCACTGCAGATGCTTTCTTCCTATTAACAACAGCTGACTGTGGCACATGAAGGCCCAAATACACCTCACTGTTTTTTAGACTTTTAGGTAGGGCACGTACATCACTCCAGATTGCCTGTATGATGGACAGAAAGGTGGGTTGCTCCAAAGGGTGTCGCCAACCTTTTCCAGAATAAGTTAGGAGCCTACAGCAATTGAAATTCTAACTCAGCTTAAATGTAATGAGTCAAAGCAAAAGGGTAAGAAGGGCACCAATATCAGGTGCTCAACGTATCTGTCACCAGACTTCTAAATCTCCATTTAAATGGCTTTAAAAATACATCTGTCCATGAAGTAGTAGAAGATGCAGGAACTTTACAACAGCATAGTTAATGATGCACCTAACACAGCAGATTTACACAAGTTTTTGTTTGGCACATTTTCTCTTAACAGTTCCAGAGAAGAGAAAAGAAAACAAGCCACACGTTACCCCTGTAATGTGGTACAGTACAATACACGGATGCGTTTCTCAAATACAGGAGGTGTGCACAAAAGCTGACGTTCACAAGTATGCAGCTCATTTGCTAAGTGAGGGTACAGTGCATTGCAAAAAAGACACAAGGTTTTTGTATTTGTGTAGAACAACAATATATTGGACTATAAATAGCATTTCCATTAGAAGCACTTTATAAACATCTACTAATATCCTCTTCCCAAACTTTTATTTATTTCTCTGTTTTTAGAAACTCAGTTTCTTGGATTCTGTTATGAAATAACAGAAGAAATCAGTCTAAATTACTAGGAGTAGAAAAACAGTTCAACTGACATTCATTACAGTAAATGATGAACAATGAAAACCAGTGTTTTTTCTCTCGCAAGTTTAATATAAAATTTTAACAATTCAAAGATGTTGTAAATACTGATTATAATATTAAAGCATCTTATATTGAATATGTAATAATAGAAGAAACTATATGCTATAAGCTATTTTTGTTTAATAAGCAGCTTCCTTGTTGTCTCATTCTATCACATAACTTCACGAATAAGCCTTTGTTAACCAGCTGCCAATGCAAATGCCTTTTGGTTTGTATTATCTCAGCGATCTCCTTGAAAAAACATTAAAAGATGAGTAATTCATTCTCTGGCTAGAGAGAGAACTTTTGTCTACAGTTTTCTTAAAACAAATCACTTCTGTTGTATCGATCCAAATGTAGTGGTGAACTACATAATTTTTAATGAGAGGTCCCGGAGGAAACAGAATCTTTTTTTACTTTCAAAATTGCAATTGACTTAAAACATCTGCATCTAATCCTGCTCCTAAATTAACTTTTTCTAGTGTTACTCTGCTGACTTCTGTGCAACGGCTCCACAACATGACCAGTGGAAAAAAAGAGGGTGGAGAGGAAACAGAGCGAGCCTGATTTCCCTCAGGTTGAAATTCTTCCAGGACGCTATAGAATCATTGCCTGCATTTATCACAATTTGGCTGTGCCTATTTTTTACGCCATTTGCCAAGGCCCTCCTCAAAAAAAATAATTCACTTTTTAACTGGTTTGTCACTCCACTGGATCCCTGAGATTTTTGTTTCAGCTTTCAAGAATCCAGTCGTAATCAGTCTCAACTGTTTTCAATTCTCGTGAAAAAATATCCAATTCTTTTCGTATGACTCATGCCTATCTCTACTTATGGTTCTATATTGCAATGCGACTCAAAAAACTTAACAACGTAAGCAGGGTGTTGCACTCCATCTCTCTCAGCACACAGCCAGGTCTCTATTCCTGCTCATTCTCCTTCTCTCCCTTGGGATGCCCATTTTTTTAAAGTAGTGTTTTATATATTCTGAAGAAGATACACTACCCACTACCTGAAGAGAAAACGACATCAGAAGCCAAATGAAAATATACAAATCCATGTTTGAAAAGGACATTTTCTAATGGTCAGAATGCACACTAGAGTAAAACCCTGCCTCCTGGTTCATCTCCTGGCTTAGGTTTGCTGTCTGTGAAACTGGTTTGATGTTTTGAAAATTAGTTTATTCATTTTATATCTACACTGAAGTGAGTTTACAGCATTATTAAAAAAAATCCATGTTTTGTTGAGAAAAAAAACACTGAAGTTGTGAAATCAAGCATTGAACTAGGAGATGCCAGAAATCACCAAACACCCATCTCCCATTGTGAATTTTCCTTGTGACACTCTCTTTAATTAGAGGATTCACACTCACTTGCTCGGACCCTGAGTTTGACTGAAACAGTAGCAGGAAAAGGAAGCGACCCAGTCTTGGGCAATTGTTTTTATCTGACTTAACTCTGTGTGGAAGTGAAGACAATAATACTATGTGTGCAATGTCAGCTGATCCTAACAGCAAGTTTTGCTTGCTGGTGGCAATTTTCAGCCTTTGTAACTTCAAAAAAATACTAACAGATGCCATGGGGATGGCAGCCTCCCTCCCCCTAGGAATAACTCTGCCGAATTTGAAGTCCTGCTAAAAACTGTGGACACTTCAGAGCTCTTTAAATAATAATGCTTCAGACAACATCTTGGTGTTATCCAAAGCAGAGAACAAAACACATTAGAAGTAGCAAACAGGGAATATTAGAACCTGTCTTGTTCCCCAGAAACTGCTGCCAGGAGCCTAGGTGACCCTTAGGAAGCTCCCCAAAACACTGGTGAGCTTTTCTGAAGTTCAACACATGTAGTTTTCACTTACCAAATGCATCTACAAAAACGTATACTTTCATGAGCAAGGGAGTACTGCCAGAGAAGGACATCCCTTTTTTTTGGCTTGAGGACTGTTAACTTCATCTGCGAGAAATGCTGAGTCCTTTCAAAGGATTATTTTTTAGATTTCCCAAACAATCTTTTTCCATGTAGCAACTGATCCACTGCAGCCACCTTCACTGCTGTATCAACTACCCAACTTCAGGGATGGCACCAGCAACACAGGAAATCCCAACAGAATCAGCGGTGGGATTCAGGTGGGATTCAAGGGGACTCATGGTAGGACTCTACGCAAGTCATGACACAACTGCAGAGGACTTGCAGAAAGGCAGAGGGTTGCTGTCACACTCATCTCTCTGACTTATGCAAGAAGAGGGATTCACCCACCTGGTAAATTGCCGACTTTCCTCATGTACTTCCATTTCTGTGCTTTTAAATTCATTCAGTTCTTTCCGTATTGCTGCCTAATAAACAATAATGATATATGCAACCATAAGAAATATGAAGCTTGAAGAGAGTAGGGTCTGAGAGGAACCTGGCCCTACTCTTGCAGGTTCCCTTCCAGTTCCCATTTTCCAGTCTCCCTTACCGTAATCTACAGCTCTTACACATTTCTCATCATCAACATGAATGACTTTTTTCAATTACAGCTATTTGAAGCAGTAATACACTACAAAGAAACCCAAAGCATCAAACACCAACAATAAACAAAGAAACATCAAATCTACTGCAATGGGTGAACCAACCCCCCACCGAAATACGGCACTTGCTACAGACAAAAATGGGCAAGGGACTGGGTCACCTTGACAGTCACCTGCTGAGTATGCAACCCCGAGGGGACTGTATCTCCAGGCGCAGCCCCTGAGGAGGTGGTGAGTCACGCTGCCTGCACAGGCACTGTACACGCAGCAGGGGTCTTGTATCTCCCCACTGAAGACACGAATTCAGGAATGCAAGATGAATAGCATTTTTTTAAGTGGAATTAGTCACTTGGTTTGATTAGTTTTATGTAAAATTACATGAAATATTTGGACATTTCAAGCTTGTGTCTTCAGGTGGCAGATACTAAAGAACAGCAGAAATTCAGTGCGCTTTGTAAATGCCTTGTTGCTTATGTTGAAAGAGTGATAAGCGATTTACTTCATCAGGTACTACATACAGTTTCTGAAACATTCTAATACGTACTACAAGGGCTTTTGTTTCCATGCCATACGCTTTCCTACCTTCACTGTGAAATGAAATTACAGTTTATTCTTACTCACTCTTTTCTTTCACCATTTTAAACAAAAGCAGTATCATTTCATCAATCCCTAAAGAAATCTCATCTGGTGTGCATGCCTTTCAATGCAGAACAGACAAGCAGCATGATAAAATTATAGCATCACCAGACTGCGGTCTCATAAATGAGAAACTTCATTTTAAGCAGGGGATGGTTCCGTTTAGCCACAACAGCATGCTTACAGGAGGCTGCTGTAATAGCTAGGAAAGAGACGGCTATTTCTGAGCACCAAATCAGCAGCAAAGACACCAGAGCTCCAGCTCCGTAATATAGTTACAGTACAATTTTCTGTTCCCACTGGAATTAGAAAAATTACTTCCTTGGGAAAAAAGGGCAAGGGAGTTTCCAGGCAACCCGGGGTCTGCCTTTCTGCTGAGGCCAACAAACATGGGGATCACAGAACCAGCCTCGGGCACCTGTTCGTTACAAAATGAATTGAGATTAAAACCTGCTACCCTAAAGTAGGTAGGAAACTCCAGTGTTTTTTCTAGTGCAGTTTACCCTGGTTGGACCTAGGTGGAGGTGCTGGGTGCTCTAACCTTCCACAGACTATGTGGGGACTAGAGAGTGCTCAGCACCTCCCAGAACCAACATCTACAAACACTTCTGGGTACGTTTTTATGTTTCCACCTTGACTTGATACGAGATTCTCCTTTGATTATCAGATAAGCTGGCATTCATATTAAAATACAAGCTGAAGTAAAATCAGTGCTTTACAGTCCTTAGCTAAAAGACAGTGGGTTCTTGCACATATCACTTTTCATGCCAAGCACATCTCATAGGATTTCCATAAAAGTTGGTTCAGATCCTGTGCTAAAAGGGCCAGTACTTTTTGATACATAAATTCTACAGCTTTCCTTTTATGAAGTGGTATAGGAGGGAAATGGAAGAGTATTTTATGGTAATCTTTGACTGATCTGGTCTTTAAAAGAGAATCACAGAATCATTTGTCTCATCCTTTGTAGTTAGGCAGAGGAACTATTAACTGCAGCATGTTGGGGGCAGGCTTCCCAAGAAGGTGTGCTGCACGCATATGGTCAGCTCCTGCACTGACAGTTGTGGCCAAGAACCCTCAGGAGGATGGAGCAGCTTCTACCTTTTTTCACTTGCATGAGTTGCAGAAGTAACTCTCGGTGGCAGTGACGCAGGCTTCTGCCTGCAGAAACCTTGCCTGAATTCCACGGGTCGTGGCCATCTTTGCTAACAGTGTGTGCCTGGCTTAGCAAGGCTTTAAAAATGCGAGAAATTCTGGCCTGAACTGCTGTAATGGAGGTGGCAGATATGCTCTTAATAGGCACCTGAGTGGGTTTTCTTAGCTGCAAGCAGTAGATGCACGGTAGTACCATGACAATCTCGCTGCCTCCAGCAGATGTCATTCGTGATGCTGGCGTCAAGAGAATGTAAACCAGAGGAAAGCCCCCCAAAAGTGACAGATGCAAGCATTTTCTTATAATCTACATTTGTCCCTTGCCTTGTCTGCGGGAGTTAACCTGGCCCAAGGCTTGTCGGCACGACGGTCGTAATCCGGAGAATCCGTGACCTCCACGTACTCATTAAATCGAAGGATTCTTCTTGCTTGAAGTTCAGCCACTGTAGGCCTCAGGCTGAGCTGTAAGCGGGAGGCAGAAATTAGTACGTTTAATAAGATGAAAGAAAAGAAAATAAAAGCCGAGGGTATGATGTAATCTCAAGAGAACTTTAATGGTATTTCTAAATAGGGTCACTTTCAGGTGTCTAAAAAAAGGCACCATCCTGGGAGCGCTGCACGGGAATGGGGAAGCAGCACAACCTAATTTCTTCAATTATAAAAATAGTCTTTGTCGGGCAGGTCACAGAGAATCATGACAGTTATCCCCGGAATATTATTGTGACTTTGCAACTGTCACACCATTTACCCCACTAGGCAGTAAGTCCATTTGCATTAACGACTACACAGTCTGCTGTGTAGTATTCAACTATAACACTGAAAATAAGCAGGATTTGGAGGTGCCTGCCTAACTATAAAAATTGTTTTTGAACATCTGGGGGTCATTACGATGCCAAACTGTTTCAGTCACCTCAAACAATATTCACTTTAACTAAGGACGACCATATTAAGGGAACTGTATTTTTGCAGAGAAGGGCAGACTAGGGATACGTATGAAAACTGCCCCCATCCTCTCCCAGAACGAGCTCCCAAAGTCAGGGCAGCAGATCCATAGCTGCTTGGTTTCCAGGGACAATGAGCGCAATCCCACCTCAAGCCCACAAGACCACGCAAAGACCAAGAAGAACGGTGAAGGGATTTCTTAGGGCCCAGACTGCTTTGCTGCCCTCTCCGCTGCTCTAGGGAAGAGCGGATCTACAGGGCCCCCATCCTCTCCCAGAATGAGCTCCCAAAGTCAGGGCAGCAGATCCATAGCTGCTTGGTTTCCAGGGACAATGAGCGCAATCCCACCTGCGGCGGCCAAGACCACTGATGTGGTCAGAAGAACGGTGAAGGGATTTCTTAGGGCCCAGACTGCTTTGCTGCCCTCTCCGCTGCTCTAGGGAAGAGCGGATCTACAGGTGCGGCTGCCCTCGAACATACATGACAGCAGTGGTCGTGCTCACAGAGGAAGCAAGTGTCATTCCTCTCCCCTGCTTACAGGGACAAATACTGAGCATGGCCAGAGTCCGTATGCTTTTCCAGGTATGCGAAACTGGACAGGATGGACTTTCCCCCAAGATGGACTTGGCTTGTACTGCTTTTTAATCAGATTTCTAATCTGGGGGCATGACTGACGGACATTTGCAGTAATGTATACGCACTGATTTTTAGAATCTTATAAAAAATAACCCCATGTACACAAATACACAATACAAAAACCACATCATCACCTTTCTACTGAGTCTACGTTTTATTTCTCTTTTGGCTTCCTGTTCCTCTTCTTCATTCTTCTCTGTTTTCAGAAGAGATAAAAAGGAGTGAATATTTAAGTATTATAACTGCACATACTATATTTCTCTTGGTTGAAAGCTTCAGGACTTCAAGTCCTGGCTCATGTTTCCTCGTATTTCTGGGTGATCCTGCATGTATTGTCTGCTTTTTGGATTTTGTGTGCTCTCATTTCTTTTCCCCGTCCTCATTTCCCCTGATTCTGTAGACATTTCAAGTCACCACTGTGGGTCAGGAACACAGCAAAGGGGAGGCACCTGTCATTTCCTTTCCATGTAACAGCAAACAAGAAGTACCCCGAAGGAGCTGCCTAATGTTTCCTTTACTTGTCCTAACATTAAAATCACTGTTGCTTTTACTTCCAACATGCCACCTACTGACTTTACAGTAAGAGTCTAATTATTCATAAGGGTCAAGAAAAAAGTTTGCTCTGAGTATCTGAATCAGTCAAGTGTCCTCTACTGCTACAGGATGCAATGAATAAATGACAATTCCTTTCACTGTCATTCGTTAGTGCAAATTGGTTTTGTTACTTTAGTATTTTTTTTCTGATATTCTAATGCGGGCATATGATTAAGCACTCAAGCCCTCTTAGTTAAGGGCCACTAGCTAGTCCAAATGAACGAGTACAGCAGAAAACGACGTGCATTTTTTGAATGTATTTGGGCATGAGACTGAAATTTGCTTTTAACAAATTTCTGTGCTAACCAAACTTGATGTCTTGAGTGACAGTGAAAAGCACACTTTTCGTTTATATAGACTCAGCAGTTCTTTTAATAGATGTACATTTTGAAGAATATTATTTGCCCTTTCAGTCCACCTCTGATGGTTATATGCAAAGTTAACTTTGTTGTGGCTGAAATATCCCACCTAGAGATATCCATAAAATTCTGATCCTGTTTTATTCATGGTTGGGGGTTACGGATTCCACATTGCAGTTCAAGGCTAACTATAAATTTAAAGGAATTAATTTGTCTATTGTGGATGCAGCCAACCTGTATAGATGAAAAGGCAGTTTTAAATCCTGGTATAGTCCGGTTTGCCCTGCCTGCTATGGCCAGCCTGCTGTGTTAGTATAGGCAACCTGACTGCAGAGGACCTTCTGTATCATGACTGATACACTGGAGACAACGCTACGACAGGTCATCTCATAGTACTTGCAGATTTCCTTTGCTGACTCAAAGGCTCTCACGTAAGAAGAATACGAGGGAAAGGGGAAGAGGAACAAATGATAAAAAACAAAAAGAAGAAAGTTACAGTAGGAAAAAGGCGATGCCAGCCCAAGACGTGCTCTGTGAGAAGAGTCCAACACCAACCCCAGATTTCCATCGGCAAGATGCAATCGCACAGCCTTGCTGCCAGGATTAGGTTGGATCTAGTGTTGATGGTGATTTTACTGAGATACTGAAATGTGAATGTAATTTATGGTTTATTAATAGTTTTTCTCTTAAATGGTGAAGAAATGGATGGCCTGTTTCCATAGAGGAACTGTAAACTGACTAAAACTGAGGAATGGAGAGTTAAAGATTGATCTACATCTGTTGACTTTTTATTAATGTATCTATCAGTAAACAAGTTGGGTGTATTTAAGGACTTATGACTTCAAACGAGAACTCTTTTTATAACATCTTCACCTAACAAAATCAAAAGCTCTCTAGCTGTTTTAGGACGGGTAAATCATCTGTAGGTTTTTGTTTAAACATACTGTCTTTGCAATCAATAGACGTAGTAACTGAGGTAATTAAACACAAACTATTAATTTGGGGTTCCATTCACCTGGGAATCATTTGACATAAAAAATTTTGTCCCTTCATGAACTGAGTCACTTAAGTCCTACCTCAGAAATTCTCCAGAAGCAGACACAGCAGAAAAAAATGCAGCTGGATATATACATCGCTGTACTGCCTTTTCCTTAATTTAGTTTGTAAAATACTTTCTGCATTATTCATATCTTGACATTCTTTGCTATCTAAACCACTGTGTCTCCTAAGAAGCAGCAGTAAGACGCTTGATGTAAGAAATAGGGGCTCACACTGCTTAACGCATACCTTAAGAAACAACTACCAACAGCATGGCCACCTGAAATATTGTTTTTCTATATTTTGGGGGAGGATAAAATAACTCAGAAAAGTTGATCTGGACATTTAGGAAGGTTGATGGTTAGCTGCCTATCCCAAGCTGTGAAGCTACCTCCCTGTGGGCTGCGGACCCAGAGAGCAGATGACTGCACGATGGCTGGACACGGGAAACCACCTAGAAGTGGGAGATGAGCAAGGCCATCATCTTAGCTGCTGGGCAGAGGGTCCAGGCAGGTTCTGGAGGAGGCTGGTGAGGAGGGCTGGAAGCCCACCTTTCAGAGGACAGCTCTAACAGGAGGCACCAGGAGCTTCCTTCACTCCCAGGAGAAGCAGGTGGGGATCGAACCCGTAGGGAACAGACAGTCTTCTACATAAGAGGTCAGGGGGCAGGACGTGGTTTATGTATTCAAGTGGTTTTACTTCTAGGAATAAAACTCAAGAGATAAAGGAAAGGGACTGAAATCTGGTGGCTGCTGCTAATATACTGAATCCACTGTTTGGCAAACGGCCCTCCGTCTGTGGCACTGACTCGTACCTAAAGCACCTATTTCCCACCTCCAGCCTGCGGGGCAGAGTGTTGCTTTAAGCCCGGTGCTACAGAAACACTGCCCTGATACAAATTCCTACCAACAGTAACACCTACAGCGTATTTTTGGTCTTTTAAGGTGAAAGTTTTGAAAGTTGCTATAGTGAGTTAAGAAGCTGTGTGGAACTAAAAATAATGGGTCTCGTGCTCCTGCTTCCTTCAGGTGTTGTGGAAAATTCCAGCCAGAGGGCCACGTTTTGGCTGCAGGTATGAACTGACTCGCTTGCCCAAACAGGAACACACTGATGCATAAGAACACACTTCTGATTGCTTTCCACCTTAAAACCAGATCTAATCTGGGTGATGTGGAGAAAGAAAATATAAACACAGCGTTCCCAGCTGCAAGTCCCCTCCTCAGATGTCCCGCTGCTGCCGTACTGGCAAAGGACCAGCCCAGCGAGCGCCCTTTGCTTGCAGGAGCCTCCAGTTAGATCCCGGCAAAACTGTGGTTTCCCTCCTTCCCTGCCTGCAGCTCCTAGGAGGTCCAACTGGGATTTGACTCCTAATTGAAACAATTTTGTTTAGCATCACTTATCGTGGCCTTTGAGTTAAAAAAAACACCGGTCATCCAAGCAGAACAAGCAGCCTCCCTGGCATCTATACATTATTGCTCCTGCAACTTTTGCCATATTAAATCTGGTCACCTTCTGTTCTGTGGGACATTTGTTTCATAGCAGAAGGGGAAAAGAGACGAGAGAAATTGTTCTGCCTGAGGACTGCTCCGTTCTTGACCAGAAAGTACTCCCGGAGCGTAAAACCGAACTTTCCATTGTGTCCCTATGGGATTAGCTATGTTTAGACTTCTCCGTGGGCTTGCTAGGGAAAGAGAAAGACAAGACAAATAAAGCGCTTGCCTCTTGCAGTGCTCTGGAACGCACAAAGCGGTTTCTCTTTCCTGGTTTTACAAGCAAAGATCACCATTAATATTCCTTAACTAGCATCAAGAGCTGAACCCTGTTTTCCCAAAGTCAGTACTGGCAGGCATGCAGGTGCACAGTACAAGAAGTTCACTGTCCCTTACAAATACAGGAAAAAATACAGTTATCTTAATCTGAAATTCCTGGAAGAATAAAAAGTTTCTTTGCCATTACTGTAAATACTACTGGCTTAAAGCCAGTACACAAGAAACAAGAAATTATTAAAAACACAGGGCTAATAAAAAGTTTCTTTGCCATAATGCAATACTGTAAATACTACTGGCTTAAAGCCAGTACACAAGAAACCTGTATTTATTAAAAACACAGGGCTTTATCTATTCCTTCAAGTGGACTCTTGAGTTATCATAACTTTGTTTTAGTGTTGGAAGACTCAGAAGTCTGGATAGTTTTATCCAAATTGTTTTTATAGAAATCCGCCTGCAATGTCTTGCGATCGTACTCGGTTACAGGATTTTCAGGAACTGGTTTATCTGGAAATATTATCAAAACAAAACTTCTTGCAAGACAGATTTCCTCACTAACTGGAAATACAAAAAAAGAAAAAATACAGACTTTTTCTGAACCTCTTAAAAGATTCGGGCTGAACTTAATTCTGAAATAAACATTTAGACCTTTACCACTTAATGTAACCTCAAAGTCTGATAAATATTACTCAAAACAATACTTCCCCTTAGCTGCAGTTTACGTACATGCAATAATATAACCCCTTCTCCCCATCCACTGCTTAAAAATAGGAGGAAGGAAGCTTTATGAAAGAAACCCCAACTTATTCACAAAAGCTGCCTACAACAACAAAGGCATTTAAGAGATGTAAACATTTTCGAATGATCCACAGGAAGGGAATGTAATAATTTTGATAAATAATATGACCGCCTTAGAGCTGAGAGAGAACTTGCACCCTGAAAGGGCTCTGAGTCAGGCTGTCACCACAAACCCTGGCTTCCTTTGCTTTGCTTTGCTTTGCTTTCTTTGCTTTGTTTTTTACAGATCACTGTCAACTTGAAAAATTTTGTATCTCGGCAATAAGCAAAAAGCAGTTTGGGATTCTCCACGTGCTCGTCAATGACTCCGCGATTTTTTGTGATTTACAATGCTGCTTCCCAGCCTTCATTTCTTGCTCTCCCTTGCCTCTTTAAGACAGCCCCCCGGCAGCAGCAGGGGAAGACGGCTGGAGGTATTGAGTGCAAAGCCTGATACGCTGCCAAAAGCTTAAAGTAAACAAGCTGAAACAGGAGAAGAAATCTATTAACTGCTTTCCAGTCTCGAGCTACTTACTGCAAAATCAGTGAATGGAATAAACAATGGCAAAAGGATATTAAATGCATCGCAGGTTTGTTGCTAGATTAGTTATCTAGAGATTAGCCAGACAGAGAGGGCAGTAAGAAAGCCCAGCTGGTGCTCGCAGCTCAGTGGCCGTATCCTGGCCCACCAAAGATGTTTCGGAATTACTGTTCTCACATAGTCCAGTGTGAGCGGTTTGTCATACAAAAAAACGTTCGTATTTCAAATTTCATCTTTTTTATCTATGCGATCTACAGGTTCAGAAATTATAGTCTTGGAAAGTCTGTTCACATTATGTGTTGGACAGGAGTCCCTTGAACCCTGTCCTGTGCACCATAATGCATGAACTGCAGCTTCCCTTTTCAATAAGACATGGCACTATTTGACTTTTGAGCGCTTAGACAGCAGCAGTAGGATTTCATTAGCATGGATGGTCGCCTGAAAGCCAACAATTGCTATGTCTCCTTGATTTGCTGGCCTGAGCAGGTGACAGAGCGATCAGTCCATGGACTTTGTCAGGTAAACAGCCCATTTTCTTTTCTTCCATTAGCATGCTGTGCACCAGGGTTGCACAGATGAACTTTTCTGAATGATTGTTGGAAATAACGGCATTATACCTGCTCTTTCAGTTACATCAAGTGTGGAAAGTTCTTATACCTCAAGAACAGATGAGTTCTTGGATTTGTTGCTACGTGTGAAATGCTTCCATGTGCATTTTCTTCATTTATTTCTTCTACTTAAGCATCAAGTGCTAGCTACCCTTGCAGCTAGAGGAGCTGGGCATGACAACTCTTACAGCGTGTGTTTAGGTAACATCCATATTATGGAACGATTCATAAAGGAAGACAAAAAATGCCTGTTCTGAAGCATTTGCCAGCCTAAGAACAAAACCAACATAAGTAAATGGGAGAATAGGTATAGGGGGTAAACATCCAATGTACTTCATTCCTCTGCCTCTGACTATTTGAATTATAGACTTAAATTTTTCAAGAGGGATACTGAGGAAGGATTTAATCAATGGGAAGATATTCAGTGAGAATGTCTCATGCAAGTTTCAGTACAGAAGTTGTCAGAAGTGGATATGAAGGCCAGCATGCTGAAGTAGTCAGCGTATACCTATTCACTTTCCCCTGAATGCTTCACCTTTCCTCTTTCTACTCCACCTTCCAACCTCTGCCCTTATATCCCATCTCTGCCTCCTACTGATATTCCCTCCTCCTCCTCTTCCTCATGAAAATTAGGTGGAAGTTTAACCAGTCTAGAACTATTTCTAAGGGGTATCTAAGTAATTCCTCATCTTTGGGACCAGCTTCAAGAAGTGGGATTGAGACAAGCAAAATTCAGCATCTTGAATACACGCAATTTTCACAGCTACTGTTACAGGTTAGTATATAGATCTACTGTTGATACGTTGTTTTCTAGAACACAATTTCTCTCCAGTTATGGCTCTAACACTAGAGCAACAATGATAGGCTTCCATATGAATCCAATTTATGCTCACTTTCTAAGTAAATACTAGCTGAAACCTGAATAAAATACTTACGCTTTAGGATATTTCTCTGCTCCAGCTCTTCAGTTGTAGGCCTCTGGCTAAGTCTCCTGTGAGAACAAAGTAAGTGACTGATTTAAAACCAGATCCAAATAACACATTATGATTTGTAATACAGCTTAAAAGGTGTTTCTCACATGGCCATGCTATCCTTTGCCAGCAGAGGTATTTAACAATAGAGGTAATTGCCAGACACAGTTATAACAACTGTGCATGTAACCACAGTACTGAGTGGCCATTTGTTTTAAAAGATGTACTATTGCCTCTCGAACACATAAATAATTGATACTTGCATAATACTACAGAAATTGTACCAGCAAATTTAAATTCCTCATTTACAGGTAGAATTTTATGAAAGAGTCCATAAACCTTTTTTGTCCCCAAGCACCTTAATTATGATAAGTTGTGCCATCGTAAGATTATTTTCAGATATTTTGAATGCAAATCCTATTGATTATTTTTTTAAAAAAACACAACATAAGCTGTGCATTCCCCACTGATTTGTACATACAATACAATCGGGAGTTTTAACTGAAAGTTAATTTTATTTAGTTACCTATATATAACAACTGCCATTAAAAAAGAAAAAACCCTGAGATATTAATTTTCTGGTTTGTATGGTGGAGAACATGGTTGATATTGTCTCTGTGTTTACTAAACAGGTTCACTTGTTCACTTGAGAAAAGGAGCAAGAAAAATGTCAGCAGTAAAATTAATTTTGCAGATGTGCTAAAGATAGATGCCTCTCTGTCCAGCAAACCTCACACGGTTCACTACAGATTATCTTTGGCCTCATGAAACCCATCTCATTCAAACCATGCTTGGACTTTCACATTTGGCGGGGAGGACCGGCAGGTTTACCCCAAGTGACCAGCCCCCGCTGTAGGAAGTCCCAGGCTGGGACCTGACCCAACCCTGACCAAACTATGGGAACAGGTTTCCCATCAGACCTCGATGCTGCCGGGTGCTGACCACCACGCCAGGAATTTTTAAGGAACTGGCGTCAAACTTGGTTGTGATTTCAGGCATGAGCACAGCCCTGACATGCACAGATGTTGTCTCCTGCCACCAAAGCAGAGTTGTGCGGGGAGCGTGCCGGCTTCCCAGCAGAACCAACAATGTACCTGTGCAAGGAGCTCAGGACGGGGACCGGAGCGGTTTCTGCAGTTTGAGCCCCCGAGGGAGCACCAACAAGCAGGATGTGATCACCGGAGCTGGGATTCGGTCAGGAAAGCGGTGATAACAACCACACCACTTTATTAGCAGAAGAAAAATGACCCTTGGGCTTCACACAACAGATGTATCACTCTTACGTTTAAGGGATGAAATAAATGACTTAGCCAGCCACCCGATTCACAGAGCAACTCAGCTCATCTTCCAGGTGCTGATGCAGGACTGCTGTACTCTGTACTGGAGCAGTACCGGCTGGACTACCCAATATCTGGAAATCTCCAACAAACACAGGACATCCTTCAAATCTGCCTGGACAACATTTCTGAGCACAAGAGAAACAAGGACAGGTCTGGGAAAATCCAGACATGTTGTAGTCTATTCTGAGAGACCAGGAAGGCCAACATTAACATTTATGAGGATTTTTTTTTAAAAGCTTGTAAAAATGCAAGTGAAAATTAGTCTTTTTTATGCAATGTTCTCAAGTCCGGGAAGAGAAAGTAACATATATCCCATAGCAGTTAAACAGCATGAGAAAGACATGCCTCAGAGGTGAGCACAGTAAAACACTAAACACTGACCTACAAAGTCAGCCTCCCTCCATTTCTTTTGCTGGAGCCAGCACATGAATAATGAAGGAGTTAGAGAGCAGGAGGAGGATGGGGAGGGCCAGGAGGGACAAACATGCACAGGCATGCTGTGTGTGTCAGGAACTACTACTCCATCCGAGATGGGGATATACTAGTGCAAGTACCTGCTAACCAATGTGAGAAAAACCTTGAACCATGGCACTGATTATTCTGGAGTCGCTCTTATTCTCTTCATCTTCTTAAAAAAAACCCAAACAACCCCAAAACCCAGACGCTCTCAGATTTGTTTCCTGCAGAACCAAAAATGCATTATTGACATTTTAAAGTTTTTTGAGAAGTAAAACTACTGTTTTCCAGGCAGTTGTACCACAAAGATCCTGCACCGCACACTGGGCTGCATTTAAAACGTGAACCCAGTGTTCTTGATTCTCTTCCTCCACCTCCGCCCAGCGAAATCACATTTACCCTGCCACTGATACCTCACTAGCTTCGTTCCAATCTGATGTCTGATTTCCTGCCTCTCCTCTTCAGATGTACGCTGCAAGATATTTTTGTCTTCTAATTCTTTCTTAGAAGGTCTGTTGCCAAGTTTGATAGCAAGAGTATCCCTGCGACGAATTTTACTTGCCAAAGAGCCTGAGGAAAGGAGGAGGGTAGATTTAGTTCATTCATGCTTAGGTTACAGATACAAACTCTGAGTAAGAACTTTAATACCTCCCCAAAGCAGCCTTGTTCCCACATGCAGGAGAGGAATTTTAATTAACATCAAAAGAAAAATAGTTTTAGCTCAGTTCACAACAATAAAAAGCTCAAAGGCTTGGATGAAAAAGCTACCAGCCAAATTGATAGAGGAGTTTTATAAACATCACTTGTCACCTGTGAAGTGACAGGATAAAAATGACAAATCTACGCGTAAGTGTCTTTGAAGTCTGATACATTACAGGTTGGTTTATTTATCTACTTAGTATATTTAGCAACCTGCTGCTCTTTTACTTCTGCTTTAAATGGTTTAGTCCTGTTCTCTCATCTTTTCCCTCATTCTTTCAATTTGTTTTTTCAATCTAATACCACTTAGTTCTTGTATAGTGCTTTTCATCTTTAACTAATTTGTAAATTAAAGCAAAATATACAGTTTAGAAAAGTGCTCTGAGTGCTTGTAAAGTAACCTAGGCAGGAACGCCCAGGCACGGAAGCAATCTGTTTATCCATAAAACAGATACCGTAGGGACAAGGGCTGTGCAATTTTGCCAGCGTTAGGTTCAGCCAGCTGTGGAAGGACGAGTATTTTTCATGGCCTTTAGTCTTTCCCTTGCCTCTTGATATTCTGACCAAGGGGCTACATATGTCCTAGACTGGCAGGTTTTTATGACATTAGACAGTTTGGTAAGACCACAGGCTCCCAGCTCACTTCTCATAAGACACCGTGCTGCTGTCTGAATACATGAATTTTTGGTTGCTACCACTTTGGATCATATTCAAACCAAACGCAGAACTGCAGAAGACTTCAGCCTCTTGAGCTAGCTGGCACTTCACCTTCTGCCACACCAGTGTCCAAGGAAAAAAAAAAATGTTCATTCTCCCTTCCCCCCCCTTTCTGTACACAGCACTTTTGTGTTCAGGCCTTCTTCACTAAGCACCGTGAAGCACCTCCTCCTGAACAGCTGCAGGCAAGGCTCTCAAGCGATGGTTTGATGGTCATTTTATTCTGACATAAGGCCACCCTGCTGGTGGTAGGGGTAGGGCTGCCCTCCTCTCTACCCCTGACAGGTTGTTGCTGCCACCTCCTTTGCTCCAGCAAAGGTGAAACCATGTGGTGAGCTGGATCAGGGAACCGATTCTACTGAAAATCAGCCACCACTGCAAAAACAAACATGAGCACTGGCCTAAGGGAAAAAGGAACAGCTGGGAGCAGGGATGAGGCAGAGGGTGGGCAGCACAACCCCCTTCAGCAGCAGCAAGGACTTCTGCCAAATGATATATGGTGATGATACAGCCACGACCCCAGATGAAATTTCAGAGCTGTAAACTTAGAAGTAATCCACTGTGATCTGCTCTGTCTGCTAAGGTGCTCCAATGCTTAAAAACACCCTGGTCAAAGAGGAACAAATGACTTTCAGACAGTGAAGCTGCTGACTGATGGGCCTCCTCTGTTGTCCACCCCTGCCTGTTACTCCCACAAGAAACTCTGGGATTTCTAGTGCAATTCAGTTGAAAGCTACACTGGTGCTTTAACAGTAGATGTTCATGACATGGGCAAGTCAAATCAATGGCTCGTTGATGCCCTAACATGGAGGCCTTGTTCCATCCTCATGTTCTCCTGAACCTGCTCCTCCCACCTCCACTCCCACCCACACAACGCTTGATCTGCTCCCACCATTGCATGGACCCCAGCAGGTTTCTGATCACAATCGTCTGGGAGAAGTGGGACACTCATTTCTCAGTAGTGGTAAAATATTAAATCATCTAAAACTACCCCATGCAGCCATACCCTCTCTTTACTTTGCACTAGCATGGGTCAGGCATGCTCACATAACGCAATGCACAAAAGGCAGCCTGCAACCTCTCAGCAGGATGCCCTGCCAGAGAACCAGGTCCTGAAACAGAATCACCCATGGATTGATGTGCTTGCTAGCAGCTCCATCCCAAAGTCTTTGCTCTTCTGAAGGCCACAATTTAATGGAGGCAGCTGCACAAAATCTCGCTGGGTGTAGATGTCTTTGGACTACACTCAACCAGTAAGTTCCAGTTAGCAATGTGGATGCAATCACAGCAGCTTAGTAGGCTCTCTGAGCCAGCCCAGACCAAACATGTATATTAGATATAGCTGAAGGTGGCCACCCCTTCCCAGTACACCCTTCTTGTCAGGGGCTTACTTTCAGCACTTGCATTATCATCATCGTCATCATCATCATCATCTGTGTACAGTATCGGTCCGTCAGAGTCTGAGTCACTGCTGTGGCTCTCTCTGCTACTTTCACTCTCAGGAGGGGCAGCAGCATCAGAAGCCTCCTCCACCGGTTCAGAGTGTGCCTGGTCAGTTGCCTCCGCTTCTTGGTCTTCTTGGGTAGCCAAGCTGTTAATTCAGAAGCAGACATAGTGTCACATTAATGCAAGCAGCACAGAACACACATGGGAGACAGACTGTATAAGCAAGTATGAAAACAAAAGTTCTGTTACTCAAACTAACTTCTCTTTTCTGAAAAACATGCATACATAAAACATATATAAAGTATGTGTATGTGTATACGTATCTGTGTGTATGTATGTTAGGAAAAAAGATGCTAACAGTCTGGAATGATGTGCTGCAAAGCCTGTATAAAGAAAAATCCTAATTCTTTTTTATTTCTTGTGGGATGGGACCAATAGTACATAAAAGCTACTAAGAAGAGAAAAACAGCTCATAAAGTTGGGGGTGAGAGGAGTGAGTTGGAGAGCAGACAGGAGTGCAAAGCCTAACTCTATTTATTGCAAATACAGTTTTACTGCTGTTGAGTCCAAAATGTTCATGCCCATTGCTGACGAACACGGACATCAGCAGCAGAGTGCTCTCTGCCTTGGGAAAACCTTTTCATAAAGGAAGGGTAGAGCAAGGGAAGAAGCAGCACAGGAGCGTAATGCTGGCACAGAGATACCAGCAAGAATTTAAAGGAAAGTCTCTAGGCCACTGGCATCTAGACTAAACTCTCTTGGGTTGTTATGAAAGATGCTGGTTCTCATGGCAGAGAAAAGACAGATTAATAAGCTGGTTTCTTTTTTGCTGCCAACTATTTTGCTTAAAAAATGTAATTATGACCTTGCTCTTGACTAGATTTTATAGTATCTGAGACTTAGACAAGCTATTAGGCAGTGACAGACCAAACACCTACTAACCGAAGCCTGAAACTGTCATTTTCAAGTCTGCAAGTAAATTCAGCTACCGAATTGAGAGCTTTAGCAGTGAGATATTTAATGATATCCACAAAAAAAGTAAAACCCCCTTGTAATTCAACATGATTTCTTGTTTGCCTTTATGAGGGAGAAATAAAAGTGTTATCAGCTACTAGCTGAATTGCTGACTGCAGTGGTCACATTAAGCCATGCAACGATGTAGGAGGCAGGTTATGAGCAATGACCTTCTGGGGAAACATGAGGTACTGCAGGTGAATGGCTCAAAGACATTGGCAAAGAACAAATTGTGCTGGGATGCAACACTGCCCTGGGCCTCCAAGAAAAAGACACAGTTACCAGTCAGTAGAAGAAACAGGAGTGATGCCCATGTGCCTACAGTGTCCCTTACAAAAAGAAATGTGGCTTCCTTGGCTGTGGGTCTTACCACTTACCCATGACAGCCATACCATCTTACCTTTTTGTGACTTCTCCACTAGCATCTGGACCGCTGTCTAGGGCCGTACTGCTCAGGCTCTCGTCTGTGTCACGCTCGGTCTGGAGAAGAGGCTTAGTATCTGATCCAGGGACGGCTGGCCCTGCCACGCAGCCGTCTGGCACATCTTGGGCATCTGAGGAGACAGCGGGCTGACCAGCTGCAGCAGGAAAAGGAGGTGGAAGTGGAGGTGGAGGAGGGGCAGCGGTGGGAGGAGGGGGGACAATGAGCTTGCTTGTTTGGTCTGCGTCCTCCATTTCAGAAATTACTATGGAAGGTTGCTCAGGCTCCGGTTTTTCTGCCTTCGCTTCCAACCTGTTGGCTGTGGCACCTGAGGGGGAAGAAGCAGCCCCATCCGGCGCTGTTCGTGGGGCGGACTGTTTCCCAGGTTTTTTCTTGCCCCTGGTAGTCCCTGATGTGCCCGATTTGCTGGAAGTCTCCTTAGAGGCTTTGGGATGAGATGATGTGGACGAAGGAGATGGTGATGAAGAGACTGGTGGTTTTTTTGCATGAGAGGAACTAGCTAAAATAAGAAAAGATAAAGCATTTTACAGTCTTGCAACTATATGATTTTTGCACCGTTCTTTCTGCATGGATTGACGTGTGCTGGTATTTAAAAAATGAAAAAATTACACTTGATACTTCTACAATCCTTCATCTATATGCTTGAGATGAGTAAATGTTGCAGTTCAAATTTCGCCTTTGAGGTGGGAAAAACTGAAACGGTGAATACTTGCCCAAGAACAGTGGAGGAGATCAACCTCACAAATGGGTGAGAGTTTGATTCTAGCATTCTGCATTGGCCCATTACAACTTGCCTGGACGTCATCTAAAAAGTCCACTTCTTATTCCAAACATGTTTAGTGCCCTGTTTAAAAAAATTGCTACCAGAGAAAACTGCCTGACCTTTTCTATTACATGAATGTTTGGTCTGAGCACTAGGAGAACACCATGATTTTCCTTATGCTTTTCAACGAACACCTCAGGACCACTATGGGTATCAGTTAATTACCTTTCACAGTGTTATTGCAAGTGGTGTGCTCCTAGTTAATGGCAAGCAGCAGACAGCAAAACAAGATGTACTTTCAGGTCCAGCTGGGCATGGCCATAAAACAGAGGCAGAAACCACTGATCTCACTCTGCACAAATGATCTCCAGAAGGAAGAAGGCACTGAAGGCCTCCTGTATAAACTGGAAATCTTCGTCTTACCAGCAACCAACTCAGGTAGCCTTGAAAATGTTTTGACAGCAGCTGTACAAGCTGGCCAGTGATGTTGCTGTTTAATCCTGTATCATATATGTGATACATATATGATTGAAGCATATATGTATCAGTGCCCAAGTTTGCAAGAGAAGATTTCAGCTAGCCTGCATGCCCATGTGCATTCCAGTCACATTTCTGATTGCTGTGTTAATGCACCCATCATCTGGACTGGGAGCTTCAGACTTCTGACTTTCATTTAAAAAGCAATAAAAATGACAACCTTCTTAACGATTCAGTCCTTTTCATCAAAATGCATCCAACTCAAACACTTCTGCTGTAGTAAAAATGCATTAACCTCAAAAGGACAAATGAAAGCATTATAAAGCTACACAGCAGCCTTGCGGCTAAGCTTACTGAGTAAAACAGAAAGCTGTAATAGAAATCTGCTGAAAGGCCTACTTTACTTATAAGCATTTAAATAAAAACAAAACCCCAGCAGATTAGGATAGAACCAAAATACAGATACTGGCCATAATAAGCGCATGATATAAAAATAGCTTTCACAGCGAGACTGTTCTCAGTGTCAAAGAAGATGGAAATAATTCAGAAGACACGTTATACTGTTCTGTAGCTGAATGTTATGGTTTATAAACATTTAGAGTGCTGTGAGACTTTCAGTACATCTGGAAAAATCTGCAGAAACTCATGACTTCAGGCAAATCACTGTCCCTCTTTGTGCTGCAAGGTAAGTGTAAAGGGCACAGTACAGAATCTACTGATACTGCACTAATCATCCACATCAACTACAAATCACTGACTTAACTTACCGGCAAATCAAAAGGAAGCAAAGAAATGGTATAGGCAGCAGTTTGTAATCACAGTGAAAATAGATGGTGGCTCCAACCTGCATATTATTTAGCAGAAACCTTACTGAGTAAGTGGATGGTAGTAAGAAAAGGCTCTGGTTCTGATCCAGCAAAGCACTTAAACACAGGCTGGACGTCAACAGAACCAGTTACATGCTTACACTTAAGAACACCAGCATAATACAAATTTACAGCCACACTATAATTGTTGCTGGGAAAATGTCAAAAGATATTTCCATTGAAAAAACCCTGAGAATAATTTCAGAGTCTTTCTGGACCTGCAATTAGGTACAGCAACTTGAAATATTTCTCCCAGGGAAAATCCCCCCTACGCTTTCACATGGGTCAAAAGCGCTATTGCTATTGTTGCTTTTGACTGGGCTGGCTGACACTTTTCTGTCATGCCTCTTTTTCAGTAGAAGATTTGAATTTTGTTTAAATGAAAAATTTCATGGCTGTTACTTGCCTTTTGGCACATGTCCATGCCTATGTTTAAGTCCCCCCTTCTCCCAACTCCACTATTTCAGTTTGGAAACCCGCTGTGGTGCCCTCAGGAGAGCCACAGCTCAGTTGTTACTCATATTCCGCTTCTCCTTCATGGGACTGAATCACTGGCTGCATCAGGTGTTCACTTTCACCTGGATCTGATAAACATCTTGTACTAAATACTGCTCCCGATCAGCTCTATTTATTAAGTATTGCCTTACTTCAAATGAACACAATGTACCTAATGTTGGAAGAAATTACCAGTAGAATATGTACTATTTTATATAAGGGATATATTGATATATTTTATACCCATATGGTCTCAAGCACTGCATAAAATTTCAGCAAGGCTACTAAAAGACAAATATGGAATCTGAATGTATTTTAATTTAAGAACTGAGATACCCGAGAGCTTGTTACCAACCACTGGTCTAAAAATTTCTTTATGTGATGGGTTTTTTTATTTCTGAAAGGTTTGCTGTTATAAGGTTCCTTCACCTGGGAAGAACTGAGTTTTCCAGATGAATGTGAAATACAAGCAGCAAATTCTGGGTTTTCAAAATATTTATTCTTGTGGTTGTCTGATGTAGTAGGGACAGTTAATACCAAGTTAATGGATATTTTATGGCAAAGTTATTATTGTAACTCCAGCAGTCTTGCAATGTTTTCAAACAGTTCTCTTCTGTGTGCTTCAAATATAAAACGTGCCAAAATTTACAAGCTATGAAGAGGTATACTTGGAGAGAAAACTGGAGGGACTGAAGGGCTCTGAAAGACTGACAGAGGATTGAAAACACAAGGCTTGTATAAGTTGGCCAATGCATATATACAGTCCATTCATCATAATATTGTTTGTGTTCAAATTATATTTGGATGTTTTCATTTTGGCCATCATCTAAATGACAACCATTCAAACTCGAGATCAGTACCTTAAGAACAGCTACCTATAATCTTTAATCTAGCATCACTGCTGAATTTTGGTTTGAAAGTGTAGTGATAAACACATCTGCTACGTGCCTGATAATGGACATTTTCCATTTCTAGTGAGTGTTTAGAATCACAGTTAGCCATCAACCAGCTCAGGGAAGCCTGGCCATTTCTAATGAGTTATAATTCTTTTTTTTTTTTTTTCAGCTAAAACAACTGCTACTCAACAGTCTTTAAAGACATCTTCATGGTTTTATCCTTTACCTCTTTGAGACCTTGTAATCTTGTCAAATTAATCAGAATAGTAGGTATTTCCAGCAGAAAGGTACAGCAATACCAAGGTAGTTTTACTTTGGGGCAACTCGTATGTTTCGTTTCAGAAGTCACCTTTTTCCCTGCCGATTCTTCAGCAGTTCTCTGGGTCATTTTGTTGCCAGCATTCACACTTGAGCTGGGAATTCAATATAGTCTGCGATGTGCTTGGTGTTGTGCACACGTTCATTAAACAGCGAAGTGATTTGTCCGCTGTCTGGGGTGTTTGCAGACAGCAGAACCAGAGCTCAGTGGGAAGATAGCTAAAAACATCCGTGGCATGCTCTTTAGTAACGCTGCTACGTACAAAGGCAGAAGGTATCATAAGACCAAGCTAAGCACCCCCATGCACATGCACCCACTCTAACTGGCACTGCCTGTGCAGTACTCACCAGCTTCTCGATTTGCACTGTGACTTGTTGGCTTGGGCGGTGGGAGAGGAGGCTGCTTAGCAGGAGCCTTTCCCTTTTTTTTAGCATGAGGTGCTTCATTACTCTTATGGCTGGTGGTGGTGGAAGCAGCAATAGCATTTTTTGGTGGTAGTGGAGCTTTTTTAGATTTAGGCTTAGGCTTGGGTAGCGGTGGAGCATAGGATGCCGGTATTTCTGGGCAGTGATCAGTAGTGCTCTCTATGGATAAGAAAGTGAACAGAAGCCAACTGACACAGACATATGCCACGTACATTCAACAGCAAGCCTGACAACAATGCCTACTTTTTGCTGCTTGAGCTCTTGGGAATCAGGAGAGACTTCTTCATCTTTTGCCTCTTATTGAAGTATTATCTCCGAAAAAAATTACCGTCTGTCTCAATTCAAGTCCTTCTCATGGAAGATTTCTGCCTGGCACTTCTCTCAGTCTCATCTATTCTAGACGTCCAAGGATCACCCTTAACGTTCAGTATCCCCAACTAGACTGCTGGCTTCAAACTAAACAAGGGAAATGCCATTTACTCCTCTAACAAATTCCCTCGGCTTCTTTCCAGCCCTCTGAGATCAACAGGCTATAAAACTCAAGATTCATGTGAATCTGAATGTGAACAGGGCCATTCTCTCAGCCATGGGTTCAAATATGGCTATGCAGCTGAATTTTTCCCCTGAAGCAACCCGTTCTCCTAAGCTGCAGACTGCTTGCTCACAGCAACTTTATTTTGGGTATCTTCCCCAGGGTATTTCTACTCTTCAGAAAGAGATGAAGCTAAATCAAATAGGATATCATTTGCCATGAGAATGCTCTCCTCTCCTGCAAGCTCTTTGGGTATTGTTACAAGACTGCACTTCTTGCAGCAGTTCCTTAGTCAACGGGAATTTGGACTGTATCTACATTGTGTCGTGCCATAGGAATGGCTCTGTAGAGTGAAAGAGGTAGCACTGAGGACTCAAAGTCCACAATGTGCATTTCAGGAGACTTGACTTTGGACTAGTTTCAGGCTAGTTCTGTAGATTGCATGCCCAGCAGTGGTGGGAGCACAAGTTTCCGAATGTATCTTTTGGCTTAGTTTCATCCAAAAGAAACCTGGCTTGTGTGCTCTGCAAACCAAAGAAGGGTAAGTGGGGATGACGAGGAAATTCACTGCAAAAGTGCACGCCTAATGCCAACTGTAACGTTAATGTAGGTGAGCCATTTATAGTCAACATAAAATTTTGCAACATAATCGCTATGGTTGTAAGACTAGCTGTTCCCAGATGGGAACAGCTAAAGTTCCCAGATGGGAATCTTTACCTATTCAAT